CTCCTAGGCTGTATATCAAAGTTGGCTGAAACGTGCTAATAAATATAAATGCTGTAATCAGATCTTTCAGGGGAAATTTCCCCAGACAGTTGTTCCATCACACTGAATTCAGAGCATATTTCATCATGATTTTTGATGATCTAACCTGTGGGTTCAATTGATTATGTAGATGTTGGGCATGTATGACGCAATGCTGAATCATAAACTAGTCCCCTGTGATATCCTCCTTTGGTCTGGGAAACATGAGCATTAGTAGTTTGAAAGCTCATTAAAAATGTGCATGTGTACATTCTACAAGTCAAGGATATAACTGAATGTTTGAAACAATAAGATCTCACAGTGTTATACAGTAATATTTACTGATGACCACGTTTCGAGCACAATTTATTGCCGCTCATAGTCATATCAAGTTACTTACACAACTTTCCAACTTCGTTTATATGATTCCACTACTTCTCACCTCTTGATCTGATTGGTAATAGTATTTTCCATATTTCCGATATGATTGATGAGTCATTCCTATTGCATCTGTTGGGTGTAGACTCGATGAACCGGGGTTCAGTAATCAACTTCTCTTTTCACCTACCTACATTCCTTTTTAGAATTTTAACGCTCTCCCACCCTATTGTGTGGTTGAGTGTTAATGCATGCGGTGCAATTGCTGAGCTTTTTTCTAAATTACTCACCTGTCTTCGCTGGGTCAATCATTCTGACCGAGGAGTAGTCAGATGCTCATAAAATCATATAAACGGAGTCGGAAAGTTGTGTAAGTAAGTTGATATGACTATGAGCAGCAATAAATTGTGCTTGAAACGTCACCAGTAAATTTTACTGTATAAAACCTCGAGACATAATCAAAATAATTCCATATTAGTTTGTTTATTTGATATATCACACAGTGAAACAGTATTATTTACTGGATGACGTTTCGAACAAAATTTATTGTTCATAATCATATCAATCAAAATAAATTTTATCCACAATGAAACATCTCCATATGTTATACTGGACAGCGTAATCTATCCGGCTTTACATAACCGATTTTTAGCTGTTTCTCCAGTTCGGAGAGATCCGTACATCTTTTTGTTACAGATTCAAACAGATTATCATGAATTCATATTTGGTGGTAGTTTGAATGACAAGGTAATACATAAATATGTTTATAATGAATACAACACATTACTGATAGATTTGAGTAGTCAAAACCATTTTATTAAAAAAACTACAATGCTTGTTAGTCAGGTCAAAATGGCCTAAGCATCTGGCAGCCATTTACCTTGTTCACCAGCTAAACTCATCAGCACAGAGAGTATAGTCAGTTATTTCCATAGATTAATTCTGTCCAGCCATTTTGGTGACCCTGTGTTGCATAATAAAAGAAGTTATAATGTAACTACAAATATTAGTTAGAGAACCACTGAAAACCAGCGAGTACTGGACTGATATCAATCCGTGATCAACTCCTAAAAATAAAAAAAATCCTTAGGAACCAACTACGGAAAATCTCACAAATGTACCAAATGAGTTCCATGTCCATTAAAACAATATAATAAGGGGAACCAAATCCACTCGCATAGATGCTGTCACACTGATGTTTGATCAAACAGGTCATCTTTATCAGTGCGAGAAACTATTAGAATAATTATAGATATGTGTATATCAGTAAATAGTTTTCAACTCAGGATGAAAAAGTATCATTATTTCCTCAGGTTTTGAGTAGAGCACACGACATCAACATCACGTCTCCATTTCGTCCTGTTCTCTGCAGCTCTCTTTGTCTGATTCCACGAATGCCCATAAGCTTTCGTCTACACCTCATACGATCTCCTCCATGTCACCCGAAGACCCACGCCCAACTTATCGTTTCCTATTCGGGTTCCTCTTGCAAGCCTGGCACGTGATTTCACTCAATGGTCTTCTTAGCGTATATTTGATCCATCTCCACTTTCTTCGGCATATTCGTTAGACGAAGTGTTGTTGGTTGGCTCGTCTGCAGCTTACTTAGTTGCTAATCCTTTCTAACCAGCCATCTGATCTTCAATATTTAGTGAATGAAGCTACTGATAAATAACTTCAGCAACCAGTCAGAAATGGCTTTGGTGACGCACACTTCAATTCACTGAACCATACAGGAACACTGACTAACTTGACATTAGAATCAAAAATCCGAATCTTATTCCCTAAGCCTACTGAAGGAGATTTCCATATTGATTTCAAATTATTAAATGTCCGTTTTGGTTCTGAGGTCCTGTGTTTGACATCTTAATCCAAGCTGCTGCCTAGATGGTGAGTGGTGCTTGTTGTTGTTTTCATTGATGGTTACGTATCTCCATCACCTCTGTCTACTGAATGTCCACTTGAAGTCCTGTCTTCACTGCCTGCCTCTATGGTCAAATTGTTGGCTTTTGTCTATAGATCTCTGAGTGTGTGATATCAGGCATAAATAATCCGCGAAGTCTAAATATTCTAATGTCTTCTTGTTGGTCTCATTTTTGCCCTTCTCCTCACTCTCAACTCATGCTTTCGTACATGATCCAGTCCGTCACAATCAGTAATATCATAGGTGATAGTTAGAAGCCTTGTCCTACTCTTGTTTTCGCTTCAGAAGCATCATTAAGCTTTCCATTGTGGATCACATGGCATTTGCTTATTGTAACGAAAATGCTATCCTTCTTAGTAAATATTTATTTAAAAATGACGAAATATAATTTTTTGGGAAACGTAAAGACAAATTCATTTTTGTCCCGGCTTAGTGGCCTGATGGATAACTCTCTGGCGTTTGAAATGTTTGCTGATAGTTTCTAGTCTCAGTGAGAACACCTTCACTCGCTGTGAACTCAGCTGACGAGTTTTAGATTGGCCAAAAATGCGTCTCTGATTCTACCGCTAGCCAACAGCAGGCAAATAACTTCAACTAAATAATCCTGATAATAATGAGGCAGTCATCCAAGGAGCCAATATGCTGAATGTGATGGTGACCGACTTGCTCAGATATATTAACAACAAATCACAAACAGAATTTTATTTACTTTCGTAGTATTCACGTTTCAAAAAAACCTAAAGAATTAAGTAACTGTAGTATTTACCGAAGCTATGGATAAAGGAGAGAATGTCGCTTAAGAATAAAGTTACGCCTTTCTGTATACATTTATTGGTCACTAAGTGGTAACCAACCTCGTTCGTCTAGTCCTTCGGCTGGTGCAGAATGAATTCCGTCAGTCTTGCGTGATGACTACACTGCAAACGTGACTGAATCTGCACGAACCCAAGGACTAGTAGCAAGACATTGGTCACTATCTCACGACCAATCCAAGTACCCATTACAGTCCCACGATGATAACCAACATTCAAGAGACCATTCTTGGTGTTCCATTGTCTGGTTATCCAGAACTTCCCAGAGTTACGCACAATACAAAAATGAATCGACAATAGTAAAACGAGTTATTTACAATAAAATCTGAGGTAATATTTAACAACGATAACATCAGAAGGCGGAATCAATACTACCAGGCACCTATATACATCAGATTACACCTCAATATACGAAACAATTACCGTACAAAAGAGTTATTTGACCAAAATCAACCGTAAGAAGTACCTGAGCATCAGATGGAATATTCCCAACAAGATGGGATCAAGGCTCTGTCAGCAAGAATCATGCATCAAACAATTCCAAGGCCAGAATAACGTTGACTTAATCAAACAACAACTACAGTCGTAAGTCAAACGACGATATTCAAATTCCTGAACAATGGTATACAGTCTAGGAGAAAAGACGAGAATAAGCTCAAATTTTCACATATTGTTTTTGTAGGGATTTTTGTTTTATTGGATGGAGGATTTCATCATGAGCTGATATCAGTTAGAGAACCAGTGGAAAACCAGCTGGGAGTACTGGACAGCTGTTTCATCAGTCTAGTTTGGGACTCCTCATCTGTACCCACCCACCACGATGGGTTCGAACCCAGCACCCTTCTGGTTACAAGGCTAGCGAGCTCGTAGACCACTAAGCCACTGGAACACGATCTAGTGGCCAGCCTATGAATTCTAACTTCTGCCAATTAATGACATAGCGCGATCGCTTCGTAGTGTCTTCTTCGATGGGTGCGTACTGAAGAAGAGTCCCAAACTAGGACGAAACAGCTGTCCAGTACTCCCAGGTTTTCCAGTAGTTCTCTAACTGAGGTCAGCTCATAATGAAATCCTCCATCCAATCAATAATTACAGAGTCAGTTGAAATGTCTAAATAAGCAGCAATGTCATGAATAATTCGTTCAGGACGGATTCTGCGGACAATTATTCTGATACATAGGTTAGTAGTAACATCTCTAACTGCAGTACTGTGTGACACGAAGCATGAGTTCCTCCAGGTTCACAAGTATGCCTCACTGACTAATGAATACCAACAAGCATGAAACCTAGATGTAAAATTTCTTGCCGACTGCCTCCAAGTACTTGAGATATTAGTTGTGTCTGAAGGTAGAAAGCAGTTGAATACTTGTATACCGCTATGTTTGTTTAAAAAGTCGCATTAGTCGTCTCTGTGAATTTCATAGATTTTTTGAGTTTTACCAAACAGTGTTTCTCTTTTTTATTCCTTCACGTTCCCAGTGGAACATACGGCTTCAAGCTACAGCCAGCTTGAAGTTTCTGTAGCAGTGTTTATTTTTACAGGATGGGGTTGCTAGCCTCATGCCCAACCTTTCCTTGTTACCAGCTTTATTACTGGCTTAGAGAGGTAAGGGAGTGTGTCGGCCGAGGATCGAACCCCGGACAATGTGCATGGTTGGCGAGCGTCCTTACCGTTGTGCCACCAACGCACCACCGATAACATTTCTCTATTTCAACTTAAACAATTGATTTAGCCAGTCTGTTGTGAAATACATCCTATTTTACACGTTCATCTAAAACTATATAACTCAAAATTAAAACGTATAACATTGTTTAGTTAATTAGAATTTCAAAATCAGCAATATACGTCTATTGAACTTTGTACAAAGTATACAGCCTACACTGATTCAAAACAAAAACATTATACAAAACACTTAAACATTTCTGAATTTTTTATAATTTCTTTTATAGTTTGTCCCCATTTGTATTTACCTAAGCATCAAAGTTGAATGTATAGATATATTCATACGTGTATATATATAACTGATTATTTGACTCTTTTTTTATTAAGTGACACAGAAACAACATTATGCTCTTTGAATTCATCGCTTTGATTGTCTTATGTGGTGAGTGGTGTGATTTTATGAAAAATAACTCACATTCTCATCTCATCTCATTCATGTAATTTGTAGGGTCGAATGGTGTTATTGGCGATGAACGCGATCAGGTAAATCCGGACTCTTATCAGTATGATTAAGCCTTTTTGTATAATCCTAATACTGATTAAAACTAAATAGAACATTCTAATGATAAGATAATTATTGATTACTGAAATATTTCATTCGATGATGACTATTACCTCTTACACAAGACCTATCCTACATAGCGCAGTACACTAGCAGACAATAATTTGAGGTTCGAGGGGATGAATTCTGGCTACGAGTCTCATAAGGAACAACGGTTACTCACTGGAATACAGTTATATCTGGTTAATGACTTTCAAATAAGAGGTAACAGCAGTCCAGGAATGCACTGTTACGCCCTTCATCAACACACCTTACATAACTATATTTGAATGGATATCTTTCACTCTGTTGAGATTTATTGCATTTAATCTTACACTTATAAGAAAGTTAGTGACCATTAGGTAACCGACTATTTTATTGAATTCATTTATTAACACAGTGAAATGAGAACTAACTCGGCAAACAGTGACTGCCCTTTTTTCATTAGCGTAAGAAAACGATAGGTTTCAGTGTTCCAGAATATTGTGTCTCAGATACGTCTTGAGTTGATTATCACGAATAAGCACAAGTCTAATGTTTGACGTATCATATTGTCTCAAGTAAACACCTTATTCCATTATGGTGTATGATCACATTTCATTCCTAATGGATGGGATTCAACTTACACACGAATAGATGTTTTTTTACAGTAAAATGAATAACTTGTTAGAATGTTATAATTTGAATTGAATACATTTTAACTTTATTTATTAGCCTCTGATTTGACTGGTGGTAATAATATCTTCCATATCTCTGGTATTTGCGTTGAGTCACTTCTATTACATGTGTTGGGTGGAGACTCAATGAACCAGGATCCAGTAATCAATCTCTCTCTCTACCTATAATAATGATAACATGAGTGAGAAAGAATATTTGGCATCTATAGTTTTACCATATAAGGAGGGGACGTCTGAAATTCTCCCTACGGAGGATTCTCAATAAAGCAGGAATTAGGGTGGCATTCAAACCCACAAACTCACTCAGACATAAGCTCTGTAGGCTAAAGGACCCAATGGAACCAATTAAACAAAATAATATAATTTACAAAATACCTTACGATGACTGTGAGTTAAGTCAACTGCATAGGTCAAACTAGTAGGTTGGAACATAAGAATTTAGCTAAGGTAAGAATGGATGATCCCGAGAAGATAAGTAAGTTATAAAAAAGCTCAGCAATAGCACTGCATGTATTAACACACAAGCACATAATATGGTAAGACAGAGTTAAAATTCTAAAAAGAAATGTAGGTAGGTGGAAAGAGAGAGAGAGATTGGTTACTGCTACCTTGTTCATCGACTCAACACCCAACACAACACATGCAACAGAAATGATTCAGTGCAAATACCAGATATATGAAAGATATTATTACCACAAGTCAAATCATAGGAGGATAATAAATAATCTTAAAATTCGATTTCAATTCATATACATTATAACATTCTAACAAGTTACTTATTTTGACTCTAAAAACACTCGTCTTATTTCCCATCAGATTGTATTTGATTTATAACACTAATATTATTACCGAATATATTTTATCTTATATTCATTTTATTCAAATGTCTAATCATCAATTTTTATTCATGTATATAAATGAAGGGAAAAAGTTGTGTGAGTAGTGCCTTGATATGATGACTATGAGCAGCAATAATTTGTGCTCGAAAGGTGGTCATCAGTTAATATTACTCTACAACACTATGTGATTTATCAAAATAAAATTTTTTATTCATAATGGAGTTACCTAAACAATGTTTGTGTGGATACTTTGGCTTGTTTATAACTAACTAACTAACTAACCAACCCACATTAATAAAAGTTGATTTCGAATAGCTTCCTAGATATTCTCTGATTTCATGATGTTTAATAGTGTATTCACTAATTGTTCTTAGTGTAATCTGACCTTTAAAAATAATCAATTTTACATCACTTTTACAACCGTAGAATACACAAGATGGTGATATTTAGTCAATTCATAATGCCTGATAATTTATTCGTTTCAGTATGCTACTGTCGAAAAATTAGACCTTCTAAGTTTATAGATTCTCTAAGCGGACATTTCAGATTACTTCATGAGAAAAGAAACATCATGCCTGAATGTTTCTTTGACTATTATTCATGATGAGTATTCACAGGTTGTGAAAAAACCAACTTCTGCAACAGCATTGTCAATATTCTACTCTCTAAACTCATTCCTACTAAAAATACAAGTAGAGATATCTTTGTATCCCCTTTCTGGTTAGCAATATTTACGCAACTTTCATTCAGTTACGTAAGTATTCTACTAGTATATGAGGTGAATGAAAATCCTCCCTCAGTTATGTCATATTAGTTGGCTTTCATTGTCCTATTCAAAATACTACCAGTCTATTCTTACATAATTCTAACACTAATGAGGAAATCTGAAAAATATTGAATAAGAACATGACTAAAGTATGGAGCAGTAATTCTCCTCTACTCAGTGATCAAAGCTTAAGTTGATGAGTACACTACGTGTGTGTGTGGGCTGGGGGTGGGGAAGAGATCCTCCTCTCGCTGTTTCAAACATCATCCAACTGGAATGCGTACTATGAATAGCTGAAATGAAATTCACCTTATTACTTTTCCTTACTGATACCTTTTTCAGATACCCTTAGTGGATCCCAAAGCGCCTGCTTGCAGTATATGTGAGTACCGAATTATTTGTTTGTTTCTTGTAGTACTTGTTTTTTGCCATTTATATACTTATGAGTACAGTACAACTTTTAGCAATAAATGTAGCTTAACTCAGATGTACAATACACTGATAGCGTCATACTTCAGGATAACTGAGTTAGTAAAGTTAATCACTGACTCATTGTATAGCATAATCGAAGCAAGAATTCTGAAGTAAAGATTTTATACAGCCAAGCATGGGGAGACTTGGATTTAGAGAAAACAACAGATTGAGCGAAGAAATATGCATACCTTTTCAATTAGTTCCTCATCATCGACTCTACACTAATATATAGTTGCTTTTTTTACATCAAAATGTTTTACCAACCAAGTGGTTATTTTAGTTAATCATTTTTAGGTATACCTAGGTGGAGGGTGAAATCAAGAGGTTAAAGGTCATCAAAACAAATAATTAATAGATGTTAGTAGCAAGATATCTAAGTTTTAAAATTAATTACGGAATTCAAGATAGGTTGATTCTTAGGCGTTGGCAGCAAGTTATTGGATAACCAAGAAATTTGTAAAATGGCAATGATGACTAAGAAGAATAGGATGACTCAGAAGAGTTACATAAAATACAAACAAGTTAATAGAATTAGCTAGAATTGTAAAAATTATTTAAAAAAGTCAAAAGCTAGTTACAAGGGGAGGGGAAAAACTCGTTTTCAAAAATTTAATACATATTATGTAGTTGGGCATGGTAAACAAAGGGGCTGTACAAATTACTTTTGAACACACATATTTGACTTGTTCAGATGAATTCCGATTACCTCTGCTGTAGTGATAGGTCGTATTCGTGGACCATGCGAGAGGTTGGGTGATATACGATAAATAACTTTAAAAGCTTTGTTAGAGTCGACTTGATGTTCAGTGTTGACGAGATGAGCTAGTATTGAGCTGCGTATAGCTTTATGTGGATCTTTGCCAAACACAGATGGAAGGTGTTCAGAAATTCGACTATGAACTTGTCTGATAGTACGTCCTATGTAACTAGCTTCGCATAATGAGTTGAACTGGTAAATACACATGGAAGAGGCGAAACAGGCCAGTCTGTTTTTATTTCTTGAACTAAGTATTGGTCGGTTAGTGAATACATAGCATAGCATAATTGCATAGAACGTCCTTTTGAAGACCATTCTCAGACGTTGTCATAAGATCTCACTATCGACATCACCTGTAAATTGTAATGTGTGTGTGTGTAAAGTAATGAAGATTGTGGTGAGCTGAAATTATTATGACTAACTATCAACTAATTGATACTACTTTTGTAGAGATTCCTTTGATCATCAACATTTGACATTAAAAGAGGACGCACCATCATAACTCTAGACATTTAAGCTCATTTAGCTGAATTGATTAGAGATGCCCATTAAAAGATGCCTAAAGACTGAGATTATGGAGCAAAGAATATTCTTCTCGATAACTTCTTCATCAGGTTCTGCATTTATACAACCGCCATAGTTGAAGTAATCTTTTAAACTACATTGAATCAACAATAAAGACAGATTACATTTGAAAAGCTTCAGTAAGAGATAATATGCACCATTACAACACTGAACTGAATATCCGGTAAATTAAGGGAAATAATACAGAATTTATGAATTTATAGGTTCAACACCATGTCAGGGTAGCAATAAAAGCTGGACCTGTTCCTGTACACATATACAGGTCCAGTTGCTTTAGGCTTTTGTTTCTGTTCTGTGGAGTGTTCGATATCTGGAGGCCCATTGGGAATTTGTTCGATACGCAACAGATGATAGAAAAAGATGCTTCAGTGCTGTTAGCTTTGTGGCGTGTTTGGATCAGGTGGTCTATTATTACAGAGCACGGAAAATTAAGTTCCTAGAGCCATGGCCAATCTAACTGGCTCCACAAGGGTAGTTGAATTGATAGATACCATAAAAAATGGTTAGCCTGGGTTTTTCGTCTTTTAGTTTAGGAATCAAAGCCGGTTGTATGGAAAATATAAGCAGGATTTAACTGGCGTTAAATGCTCTTCGAGTTAATTTTTCTCAACTTTTCAGCTAGTATTTTGCTTGTAAGTGACCTTCAGATTGCAGTCGTATATGTAGAGGCATTTTATTTAATATTCACAACCATTTTATATTTAGATAATGCGTCCATCACACAGTTAGACTACGTGAAACTCTAAGTACTTACAGAAAATATCCTTAGAAAAAGAGAAATAATCTTCACACTAACTTTACAATTTTGATGCGTAGATATTTATGAAACTTAAATTGTAGAACAGATTATTTCTCAATCAACCTCAGTCTAATTGCTGAAAGAAGTCTCTCAATCAACTAACTAGTTTGGTATGCTCAATTCTTTAAAATTTAACAGAGTGAAGCTGTTCTTCTCGCATTATATGAAACTGAATGTTTGCTTCAGATGAACTTTACACTTGACAGTTTCATTCCTGACAAGTGGAGTGTATAAATCAAAATGGCACTTCAGCGGTTTAAGACCGCTTATCATATGAAACTGTATATTGACAAATGTCACATGAAACATTCAATGTTCAGTATTTTATTTATTAAACAGTTCAGTACAGACAATAGACATGACTTGTAAAAGCAAATTTTCAAGTATTGGTTTTGTAGGGATTTTTTGTCTGATTGGTTGGAGGATTTCATCATGAGCTGACATCAGTTGAAGGTGAGGCAGTAACTCATCACCGAAAAATACATTGCGAAGTGGTCACTCTATGTCACGAATTGGCAGAAGTTAGAATTCATCGGCTGGCCATTGGATCGAGTTCCAGTGGCTTGATGGTCTACGAGCTCGCCTTGTAACCAGAAGGGTGTTGGGTTCAAACTCCTCGTGGTAGGTGGGTACTGATGAGGCGAACTAGTCTGACGAAAGAGCTGTCCAATTCCCACAGCTGGTTTTCCAATGGTTCTCTAACTGATATCAGCTCATTAGGAAATCCTCCAACCAATCAAATATGATAAACTTTTGGGAATCTGAAGGCTAGTTATGAAGTGCACTGAATGAACACAGTTAGATATAGTCAAATCTGTTCAGTGAAACCTCATTATGTCGTCTGATGTTTTAATGTTCACTTTTGTGATATTTTAAAGATTAATATGCTTCACAGGTATGAGAATGTTCTGGTGTCTCAAGGTACCTTGGCGCCAACAAAAATAACATCTAAAATCACTTCAGCATGGTGAAATATTCATTCATTTTGAACCCCTACAACAGCTTATCTTGCAAAATGCATTCATTCCATTGATGGAAGTCTGTTTAGGTATTCACAACTCCGTTTATTGATGTTTCTCAGTGACTGAAAAATAGCTCAAAGAAGTGAAGGCGTATCACTGACTTCCTTCCTGTTTGTATATTATGTGTGTATCCACTTCCACCTTATAAGAATCTAGTAGTTTGACTTATAGTGCCATCTAATTTTCTATACACTTATGATTGATTGATCATCTGATTGGTGTGAGTGTTTGATTACCGCTCACTGCAACGACCAAATCCGAGGTATTATGGTCTAAACTAATGTTTGCGTTCTACTGTGTAGCTACACAAAAAACGTCCTTGAGATACTGTCAGTTTCAAAATGCCTCGATGATAGCAAAAAGAAAGTTATTTGCAATAAAATCTGAGGCACTATTTAACGATTATAACATCTAAAACTCAAAATTACCTCAACAAATCTGTTCGACAGCTATACAGATCAAATTACTCATCAGACACACAAAAAAGCAACATAAAGCAAATTTATTATACAAAAATCAACTATTAGAGGTACCTGAGAATCAAGTACAATATTCCTAACAAGGTGGGACAGAATACTCTGTCAGTAAGAATCAAGCACCCTACAATCCCTACAGACAGTCCAAGGTCAGAACGGCTTTGATTACTCATTCAAACAAAATTCACAGTCAAAAAATCATATTTTCGGCCTGATCACATAACCCTAAAACAGAAGCAATAAAGTTAGAGAAATTCGACAGGAACAAGGACAAATAATAAGGATTAAGTCAACAGAATAATGATATATAGTCTAGGCGAAAGGAGGAAAACAATTACGAAGTTAGTTAACATTTCCAATGAAGTATCAGAATTGTAACCAAATCGCCCAGGAGGGATTTTCCAAACAGCTTTTTCGTTACATCAACCAGCATGTGTCTCTAGGCAAATCAAAGTGATCTAAGCACTTCACAGCCGATTTGGTCGTTCGAGGTCGAGCTCATCAGCGGTATGCTGTGTTCGACTCAGCTCAGAGAACCGAAATCAGTCCAAAACACCCAAATTTTGATGTTTAAATTATTTCTAGCTAGCTAGCGATCACTTCTGATTGATATAACTGGTATCCAACTATAAGGGAGAACCACTAGAAAATCAGGGAATACTGGACAGCTCTATTGTCATAGTCTGAGACTCTTCACCAGTACGTGTGTGTACCGGGGTTTGGACCCAGCATCTTCTCGTTACACGATGAGCTCGTGGACCATTCAACTAATGGGATCTGGTCCAGTGGACCATGAATTCCAACTTCTGCCGATTCCAATAGTTCTCTAATAGATATCAAGTCGTAATCAGACTTGTGACTGATGAAATCCCTGTGATCCCACAGTTTATCTTCGGGAATTTTCATCATTATTCCTTTTCACTGAAGTTTAATGTGTCACTGATACTTTTTCTCTTTGTAAAACAAATTTGTCACATTTTATTCAGTTTAGTTTCTATTCAGAAAGTAGATTAACATTCAATGATATTCTCTTTTTTTATAGTCTGTGAAGTCTGTACTTCATCATTGAACATTACAAAATTCATATTGGACAATGAACCTTTTCTACCGATAATATTGGGATATCTAACTCCAATATGCTATATGTTACCTGAAAAACACTATCGAGAAAAAGTATGCCCTGTTACTTTTAAATGTAATTTATCACACGTTTTCCACTTGTTTTATAGGCTAAATTATCTCACTAATAACATCCTGTTTTTTATGAATATGTTTTTAAATGTTAAATGTATGGGCTAGATAATAATGTTATTTAATAGGTAGAGACCAAAGTTGGGATCCATGATGCGTATTTCGTCCAGTTTGGGACTAGACAGTTGGATGTGCCTGCATTCCCAAAAATAGATAGCGTTTCCGCTGAGACTGGAATCTATTACTCATCCCTTGAAACAGCAAAGCATTATTCACTACGTCATCTGAGCCATGAGAACCACAATCCCTCAAGCAAACATAATCACCTGACCCGTCTAAAACACAACGAAATTCTCATCCTGAAATCCACTGTTAGTCAACCGCTCGCTCCATGAAATGATATCATCTTAATTCTCAGACATCATCAAAGCATCCTTGGTGGGAACAGACACGTCGGCGGAGACTGAAGATTTCTGTCCAGTGAAGTCTACCAACAGGAAATACAAAATTATGTTCAAGAAATGAATATTATTCTTTTGGATTATGTACGCTTGTAGGGATTTGGATTGAATCCACTTTAGATACGGTCACGAACAAACATCAGTTTTAAAGATCATTGAAAACCACCGGGAGGCAGTGAATGGATGTTTCGTCCTAGTTGTTGATTCTTCGGAATTGTTGGTACATGACGAAATTTACACTGAAATTAATCCGGACCCCTAAAAAACCCGTAATCTAAATTACTAATTTTCAGACTGAACGGATCGATGTCTTGAAGCCCTTCTGTGAACTTCTGACCGGTGAGGTCCATTATTTCAAGGTGAAGTTCATGCTCATCAAATGCTCTAATTTCAGGGTAACGCTATATTACCAATTGACAAAGTTAGAATTGCAAAGTACTGGATTGCAGGTGTTTAGCTGGTTACAGCTTCGATGAAGCGTTGAAAACCAGGGAATACTGGACAGCTGCTGCGTCATAGTTTTGACTATTCAACAGTAATCACCTACCATGATTCAACCCCAAGACCTTCCAGTTCGGACTTCTAAAATGTTAGAATCCACTGGTCATTGAATCCCAACCTAAGTGGATGAATGTTCAGCAAGCTTGGTCTAATAACCCGGAGTTTCTGGGTTCGACCCCTGGTGAGAAGTCCCAAAATAGCACAAAATAGCTGTTCAATGCCCCCTGGTTCGTGGTGAAATGTACAATGAAACAGTAATCTGTTTAACTTTAGTTTGACGAAACGTTTAAATAACTGAAGAAAATATTGTTGTCAAACTAATTTATGGTAACTATGAGATCTTGAAGTAAATGTGTATTTAGCTGACATTATCATCACACTGATATTTCTTTCATCAATGGGTTGAAATTCAATATTTTTTAAAGTGTTCTATAACTGAGGTGAAAAGTGCCTAACATAGAGGTAGAGGAATTGTTATTCCAGTTATCTACATATTTCAGTCTGGTAAGTTTAAGGAGATTCTATTTATTTGTCCGATGTTCTTATTGGTCATTCAAATGGTCACTCACTTTATGACAAATAACATGAAAACAGTGACACATGTACATCGAATAAGTGAACTGTTGAATGAGAAAAGAATGTTTAGTGTTAGCTATGTATTCAAAACTTTTAATTAATAAATATAATGTAGAGTTTAATATGTAGAAAAATGGCTTCATTTATTAGGAAATACCTAAACAGAAAACGTCAAATCTTCTCCCTATAATCAAAAGAATTAAAGCTGACTTGAAAATATGTCAGTTAAGGTGACATCTAACTTCTATTTTGGTTTTAAGAAGAGGCCATAGAACACAAACTTGGAAAATTATGTGCGCCGAGAGATGTGCTGCACAAAACCTGATAGTTTATGCTAGGACCGGAATACTGCCCTGACACCCATACGGATGGTTGTTTTTTTAAGAGGTCACCCTCTGACCTCTTACTTGGAATCTGATCCACAAACCAGTGGAGCAGTATCAGAAGCTGCATCCTCATGGTTTCCGGTGACCATTTGGATTCTCGAGCTCATGTACACCATTGGTTTGGAATTAGGGTTATTCATCTGCTCTTGATTTGAGCAGTATATCCACCAGTCCGGTTGTAAGCATCAGACGTTCACGTTAGCCATTTCACTTTTGTGAAGAATATCCCAGGTCACGCGGAAGCAGTGAATATGACCTAAAATAGTTCCCTTAAATGTTTGTTGAGGCAGTGATTCCTAATTAAAGTATTTCTCGAACTAACAACAACACTGACCGAATTACACTGAGATGAAATATCCGCCGTGTAATAGAGTTCATACCAAAAATTAAGTCCATCATTTCAATCAGTGTATTCTACAATCACGAAGTATTTTCATCATAGTTCAATGTGGTAAATGCAGTTGATGTTAGTTAGTCATGCTGATTCATCTTTATTAATCATTACCGAGAATATATTCAATTTCGTATCGGTTGAATACTATGCAACTGGAGATTTATTCTAGCTGATTGATTGAGAATTAGGAAACCAGCAGTGTTTATCCACATTGCCTCAACATATAATAGTGTTTATTGATCATAATCGTCCTAATACTATCACATATCATTAATCAAATACCAAAAACAGACGGAAAGATTCATCTCTCTGCAAATGACAAGTAACAGATGTCAGCTCATGATGAAATCCTCCCACCAATCAAACAAAATATCCTTACAAGACTAATACTGGAAAATTGACGTGGTACTCACTAGCGACTGGCCCTATTCAGGTAGGTAGTTAGCTGGGGTTTTAGTGGGAAGCCGTGACCAGTAGGGCACAGCAGGTTGAAGGTGAGGCAGTAACTCATCACCGAAAAAGACATTGCAAAGTGGTTGCGCTATGTCATCAATTGTTAGAAGTTAGAATTCATGGGCTGGACATTGGATCAGGTTCCAGTGGCTTGATGGTCTACGAGCTCGCTATCCTTGTAACCAGAAGGGTGCTGGGTTCAAACCCTTCGTGGTGGGTGGGTATGGATGAGGAGTCCCAAACTAGTCTGATGAAACAGCTATCCAATTCTCCCAGCTGGTTTTCCAATGGTTCTCTAACTGATTTCAGCTCATAATGACATCCTCCCTCTGGTCTGACAGAAAATATATCTATTTATTCGATTAATTTACACGATCAAATAAATCGCATTTTTAATGGAGGAAAATGGTCCTTCCACACAATAAAACGGACAAGGATATAATCTGTCGTACAAAACTTACCACACTTTCCTTACTTAATACCTGTATCGGTAAAACGGAGGAAATTTTGAATTTCTTCAGGTAGCTGATTTTGTATTACAGACCTAGAAAAATGCTGTAATCATACCATATGTAACGTTTGGCTGTCCTGAAGGTGCTTTCTCAAATTTTCTGATGCAGCTAGAATATCCGTTGGGACGTTTGCTATACTATGCGCGATAACACCTCATGACAGTTTTGATCTCCACTCAAAAAAATTACCAGTGATAGGTTTATCTGTCACTTTTAATAACTTTACAATGCAAATCTTGTCTATTTTGTTAATATTCTCTCATGAAATTATTGATACACTTTTCTTTTGACAGTGTTATGAACTTTTTGACCGTGGAGTAATAGAGAAAATTCATGAATGGCTTGATCAAATCAATATTTATGATTTCTGTTCTGTAAGTATTGAAAATCAATGATTGTTGTGATGGCTGATTCTTATCTCTGCAGCGTTATCACTTTTCACCTCAAAGTACATATAACACTACGTTTATCCTTATAAATTTGATAAATGAAGCAAGAATTCTACTCACCAGGCAGTTAAATAACGAACTGTGGTGATGTGTTTGGGTGACTTTGAAAGGCATGCTAAAAATTAAATCACTCATCTTTTGTGGCCTCTCGTGTGGCTCGCGCGACCGGAAACGGAAGTACCCAACTGGTATACTGATGTGTCACTGTAAATAAATTTAGTATAGTTAGGGAAAGTAATTGACACGAGGATGTCAACACTGACGTGACTTCAGACAACTGTCAGAATATATATATATATATGTATTTAGAAACGACTGTACAGCTTGGTGATAAATTGGCTGAAAAGAGACTGCTTGCTGAATCACTTGTTTCGATTTTCGTTAAAGTAAGCGAAGAAATCAACGGCCTTCAAATTCAATTGAAAAAGTCACTCACAGAAATGTCAATGTTATTTATTATATTTATGGCAATATGATGACGAAATATGTGTCTCCAGATGACTGTTGGAGATGGTATTTATTTTAATTGACGCAAAATGACAACATTTTCATAGCCATTGTATACCTTCAAGCTTAAATATGTATAACTTTAAATGCTCTAATAACATCGACTTTATGTCGACTGTCTACATGGTGAGCTAAAAGAGAGCTGTGCATAGATCTTGTTTGTCCCTTAACCTTAACCATGCAGGATAATGCTCAGAAACACGATGGTGAACCTGACTAATTCTACGCACAGCGTAAATAGCTGCACAAGAGAAGCATTAAGTGCAGTGGAGGTACTCTATCTGTTGAAACCTCCTCCAGTTTTACATTCGAGAAATAAGGATAAACTGCTTGAATTCGCCTCTTGTATGTGTATCCAGCAGTTCGACTCCTCATGTGGAGCAGCGAGTTATATTGGCTGTTGCTCTAGGAACTTGATTTTTCGTGCTCGAGAACATCTTCCAGTATGGCTAAGTAAAGGTGTAGTAAGAAATATGAACAGTTCGATATTAGACAACCTGGTCCAAACCAGCCGGCCACAAATCCAGCCAGCATTGAAGAATCCTTCTCTATCATCTACCAAGTACCAAATAAATTGCCAAAAACATTGAGGTACCGCATGCTCCAAACAGCAGAGGCTATCGCAATTCGCATGAAACAACCAGTGCTTTGTGTGCAAAAGAAGCTAGTCCAGCCAGACAGCCACTACTACTGCCCTGGCAGGACTTCAGTGGAGATTATAAATTCACCGATTTGTATTATAATCTTTCCTAATTATTCTGACATTCAGCTTATTGTTATGTTGATGCAATTGAACTGTAATCTATTGATATTATTATTATTCTCGATTCGATGTTATTCAGACAACACTAATGCTGTTCATAACACTACTTCATTCATTCATTATTATTATTCACTAAATAACTGTAGAACCTGATGAAGAAGGCGTTCTCGAAAAGAGTATTCTTTGTTTAGTAGCCATTCTTTTGAATTGTATTTGTTATTTTTTTATTTTACAATTAGTAAATGTAAGTGATTTTTTACTTAATTCCAGAAAATCTGGCTTTGTAATAACACGATTTCAGGTTCTAGTGAAGAACCATCTTGTAAGTTATGTAAATTTCACATATGATCAAATTTTGAAATTATAAACTAAATCTCAAATATCATGAGACATTAGGATAGGCGTAGATCTGCAGAGGAAGGTTTACATACAAAAGTCTTTGATTACTGAAGTATTTTATTGATCAGATTGGTATAGCAAAGACATCTCAAACTCTTTACCCTATATTACTACCAATGTATGACAGAAATGTCGACGATAAGTGATACTTCAGCCAAGTCTAATGAAATAAAGCAAACAGAAGTTTTTGTGCAGAACAGAATGAAGTTATCATTTATTTTCTTGGTTTCTCTTCAGCTGCGTACAACCTAAAAGGTGATTATGTATTTGTACAGGGAAATCTTAAGGGTTGCATGAATTTCTAGTTAGCAGAGAAACAAGATTAATGAACACTGCTCAGAAGTTACTCTTTTACAACTTATGCGAAGAGGTTAAAGTTTAAACAGGATACAAACTTTCAGAACCAATGGTCGGATACATTGAAAATTGAGTTGTACGGTCAAGACACGAGATGAGAAGTTGATGATAAATTACGAATCAGTTGTGTACCAGTGTAGTGAGCTTAAACCGTCATAAAAACGAAAAATGAACAAAGGAAACAGGGGAAAGGTCTAAGCAAAAGATGATGAGGAGATGAGATCAGGCGCTGAGTTACCAGGGCAAGGTAAAACTTACAACTGAATCTTTCTGAACATATAAATCAGGTTTTTACGCGTTTGATAGAAATTGCTTCAGCGAATTTGAGGAGAGTTTAGTCATATTGTCTATTAATAATCTTGAAGGATTTCACAGTGTATACCTCAAAACCCTTATCAACAAGATGTCCGGAAATAGCACTCACTCCTTTGAGACGTAAACCTTTTTAGGAACATATTCAGACAATCTAATATACGCTCTTGTTTCCGCTCTCCTAGTGTAACTGCTGCTGCAGATACACGTAAATTTTAGTTCACAATTAGAGTTAATATAGGGAGGGAATCTATCAACCCACCTCTGATTTCACTAAAAGAACTAGGATGATCGGTAAACGGCAACCAAGTTGGCTGCAGGAGTTAATCAATTTAAATTTAATTAACAAATATTTCCTAGTTTACTTTTAGACGCATCATATATTATGAGAAGACAGAAGAAAATTCTGTTGAAGAGTAAATTCTAATTAAAATAAAAATTCTTCTTCTGAAGCAACTTGGAGCAAGAATATTACCTACAGCTGATTAGAATCATTATGACTGAGCTGCATATTTATGGAGCTGAAATAAAAAAACAAGACAGTTCAGAATAGTAAAGTACTTACCTCGTTGACAGGCAGCCTCCATAATCAGCTGTATAGTGATCATTCGTTCTCAAGAGTTCTTTCACTAATGTCTTCAAATCAACTTCCTATAAAGCTAAAATGAAACTGCCAATTGTTTTCCTAATAGATATCAGAATAAGTATATCCTACTTCACACAAGACAACCTGTTTTTTTGATTAAGTACACATATTTCTTTGAGTTGGACTTCAGTAAATAATGCAGTATCACTTTGTGGTTCGGGGTTCAATCTCCGAGTACCGAACCAATCCTTTACCTCGCTAAGCCAGTAATAAGACTGGCAAAGAGGGAAGGTTGGGCATGAGGCTAACAACTCTATCCCGTAAAAATAAATACCACTGCTACCGGAACTCCAAAGCTCTAGCTTGAAGCCTTATGTTCCATTGGGACCGTTAAGGAATAAAAATAAATATGACACCATATCTATACTCCAGTCTCGTTTATTAGAACTTGCTTAATATCTACAGTGTAAACTCATTTCATTGCTTTATTCACATAAATATTTCTTTTTAAATACAAATCCTGTTACTGTTTGTTTGAATCAGTCTATGACAAACAAACTCCATTTTTCAGGTATAAATCAACACATGGAATATGCCTCAACATACTTGATGAATCCCAAGTACGTTGAAACAGCCTCGGAAGAATTGTGCAGAACTTATACAGAAGATTTTAGCGAAGTGAGTTTAATCTGAAGTGAGGTGACAGTTTGACAGCAAATAAACGAAATTCGCGTATTCTAGGGTAGTGAATACCTTAATATATCCTGTCACATGAATAAGACTGCATTATATGCCATGCTTTGGTGGCTCAGGGGTAGAACGCTCGTCAACCATGCACATAGTCCAGAGTTCGATCCCCGGCCATCGACACACTCCTTTACCTAGCCAAACTGGTGCTAAGGCCGGTATAGAGAAAAGGTTAGGTATGAGGCTAACAAATGCTGTTACCGAAACTTGAAAGCTGTAGCATGAAGCACTGTGTTCTGCTGGGAACGTAAATGAATAAGAAAAAATGGGATGCATTATATGCAACGACTGGAGGTGAGTAGCAGCAAGTACTGAGTGAAGATTTCGTGCTCAAAGGAAAAACTCATTCCTTAGAGTATAATACTATAAGAATTTAGTGTTCAGTGATATCGTTGAACCACGCCGAATGAACTCGCTTCAGTAATACGAGTTTCTGCATGGTTGAAGATGTACTTGTAGGGTAGTGTTTAATAAAGACAGATAGTTGATGAACATTTGTTTTTCACAGAAAAAACCTTAAGCTATTCTGAAAAATTCTGTCCCACTGTTCTGTTAAGAAAAAGACAGAAACGGATTTGAATTCAGCATACGGTGCTAACTGTTTCTAACAGTCTAACATTAAACCAAAGTATGAGGAAACTTAAACACAATTTAAGTTGCAAGTGCGTTATGGAAATGTGCAATATAATTTCATTATCACACGGAATTACTACTATTATCTAATTATTCATACATATTTTTATTTGTTTTCTATCCATATTAACTTCTAGTGTAAAGATACACTGATGATGCTTGCGAATAATTTCATTAAGGTAAGATTTCAAAGACTGAAAACCAGTTCAGTTAATAGAAGCTTGTTCAGATGCTTTGTTGTGAATGTAGTTTATATACTACTGGAAAGGTATTGCCTATGCTTTATCATCCAATTTGATTTTAGTATGGAAATTACTGAGAACTTAGAAGTACTATTAATCTAAGAGTAGAGTGTGAGATTGCGTTGGTTTTTTCTTATTAATCAAGCGCTGATTTACAGGAGTTTGATTGGTCACAGGCTTGGTCACGAGCTGACATCATTTAGAGAACGATTGGAAAACCATGGAGTATTGGAAAGCTGTTTCATCCTGGTTTGGGACTCCTCATCGGCACGCACGTAAGTCCTTCCGGAAGCAGCTAGAAATAAAGGCCATTGGGTTGGTCCTCAGTAGCTTTTTCGTCTTCGATTTAGACTTGTAAGCGGAAGGTCCTAGGTTTGAACCGCAATGGGTATGTACTGCTGAAATGTCCTAAGCTAAAATGAAACAGCTGTCCAGTACTTCCTGGTATTCCAGTGGTATGCTAACTAATGTTATCTCGTAATCAGGCCAGTTTGTTTATTTGATGATGTAGAACAACACTGCAATGGATGTTAAAGTATTCTGAGTGTATGTGTTTCTTGTTGATTCTATAAACGATGACTCAGTAGTCAGTCTCTCTTTCATGATTAGTATTCCGAAAAAATCAATAAAAAATTCAAAACGACTCAACAGTTATCCCAGAGAATTTATTAAAAAGTTTATACAATCTAATTAAGAAATAGTAACATAAGTGATAGTTGAAACACAACTGAAATATAGTTAAAAACCTTCGTAATATTACCCTGTTTTTAAGTAATATCAGGGAATGTACTTAGTAGCCTTTACAGAACATCAAGCCATCAGATCATTTCTAAAGAATTAAGTTGGCAGACCTTTCCGTAGCACATCAGGCAAAGTAATTTAGCTAGTCAAATATCATATAGTAACTTGGCAGGATTCAAGTATGTATTGGTCAGAGTATTCAACAGGATTTATGAGGATTTCATCTGCTGGATATGCCTTCATTCCCCAGTGACTGAGGGTATTCCCAATGAAGTTCGAAACCAGTACCCATTGTTTCAAATGCTAAAGCGTTATACGCTAGACTACCTGTGCCACGACAGCCACCTACTGTGCAGGTACATCCAAGTGACGAGTCCAGAATAGGGCGAAATGCTCATCCTGGATTCTGCTGATTGTCACCGTCCACCAGACTTCGCCGAAGCATCCTCACTAGGAGCAGATATGTTAACAGAGGTGAAACATATCGTCATTACTACTCACTAAGGTTTCGAGTGATACATAGGGCTTCAAAAGCACATCTCCTATTCTCTACACCCCTCTTTAGCTGACTGTACGATTGACTATGAACTTTCATATCCTCTTCTCCATACGATCTCCGGCATGTCACCCAAGGGCTGACGTCCAACTGTTGCCTATAATTTAACAGATTTTAGCCTGTGGCACACTTACTCCAAATTATCAAGCTTCTGACATTAATTTAATGTGCAAAGTTAGGCAGTCACATTAGTAAATTAGTCCAAAGTGTAAGTAAACTGTGCAAACAGAATGACCTTCATAAGGCGACTATTTCTTAGCTTGTCTCGAAACACCTATCCAAATATCCACACCACAAAGATCCCCGACCTATCGTTGGTTTCAAAAGACTAAGCCTAATACACAGAATACTAGGCAGTATAACCGACTCAGAACAACAGAAGACGGTTAGGCAGTGTGACTGTTTATCCTTCAACCAATAACGAAACAGATTTACAATTCGTCGAAAATACCCATCGGGACATTAGAGAGAATAGAACAAGGAGATCAGCAAAGATATCTTTTTGGCGATTTACAATTATCACTCGGTGCCACAGTTTGTAAATAAACGTTAATCTAATATGTACACCAATACTTCTGATAGTATTTCTCCAATCTTCTGACAACCAGTATACGATTAAGCAATGATTGCCTTCTTGTCTCCAGCCAATATGGAGACCAGTTCGAACAAACAAACAAACTGTTCAATGTTCACCAGCATTGACAACATCATTGAATGCCATGTATTTCGTTTTTCTCTATTTTCAGATGCAACGACAACTGCTGGATGTCTTTTAACAAAATAATATATCGTTTAAATAAGGCTTCTTAACATTGACACTTGGTTTTCCTTATCTCCTACATTATCACTTTGACACACATTATTATTACTTTTCGCACTTGTAACACAGGATAAATTTCATTGAAAAATAAAAAGATACTTTACCTAAAACAGATTTCTGTTGTATTTCTTGGGAGGTTTATGAATGAATAACTTCAGTTCACCATCTCTGAGTATGATATCTTGGTGGAAAACTGAAACGTCTCAATTATCTTCAAGTTTAACGATCACACTAAAGTAGAAATAGTCCTTATATTTCAACTGACATCAGTCACAGTTACCCCTGAACCAGACTCTGAAAGCTGTTTTGTCCTATTTCCGACCCTTAGTGGACCTGCACGTGACCCCATTAAGAATCAAAGCCAGTACCTCCATGTCACAAGCCAAGCCCGTTGACAGTTCAATCCAATAGCCAATTTGTAGTATATAACACTGCTGCCATCCATTGTTGTTGGCTGTCCTCATACCGGACTTGATGGATCCCACTGGTCATGACTTCTCACTAGAACCCCAAGCAACTTCATGCTGTCGTAAGTAAGTCACCTCACCTAGCTACCTGGAAGCTCTTTACGCTATCCTTGGTGGGGTCATGGCTGTATACCATTGAATAGGCGCAAACTTATATGAAACGGTATTCCAGTACTCCCTGGCTTTCAGCGGCCATCTAACTGGTGTTATTTCGTAATCCCTGCAAGCCAACACCAGAAACTTTTTCATATTACCAGTGAAGTGTATATCGCTGTTGATTCATTATAGTTTCTTACAACATGACAGTTGTCATAGTTAGGTGTTTCATGAGGAAACCTCTATTATATGATAAAACTATCATAAAAGCATATTTTATCTGGAATTTATAAAAGCATTCATTGAATTTTTAACAATACTCAGAAGAAAGATAGCAAAACGTCACTTTTCATCACCTATTCATCTATTTGATTGCAGCTTTTTGTCATGGTGCTCATTTACTGTACATTTAACGAGAAGGTCCTCTAGACTCAACTAAAATAAATAGTCGTGCTCTCACTTCGCTTTAAATAACCTAATAAACAGATACACCTGGTTGAGGAATCAATAATAAAAATCGAAATGGATATCCATGACCCTCATTCAGTCACCTATCAAACACCATTGTTTGTTCAATTCAGTTAATAGTATAACTACTGTAATTAATATTCTTAAATTTAATTCACTACCCCATTGTGTAAATATCCACTTTTTCTTTCCCTGTTTCAAGATGCTTCAGCCAGTTTTTCTTAGATTCGACAAGGGCTTTCAACGGCAGTGTCTTTCATAACATATCTTCTTTTAATGTTGTAATGTATTTCTGTCCTTTCGAATCTTCGTTTTCTTGTGCGACCCTTCCTTCTTTCAACCTAAATGTGGTTTCCACATAGATAAGTAATGACTAACTTCGATATTAGGCGGTTGTAAGTAGTCGGCAGGAAGCTCTCGTCCTAACTTTCGTGCTTGTTGGAAATCGATAACAAAGAGTCTATTTTTCCAACTGTCTATATAAGGTGGAGCAGTTTGGAAAGGCATATTCTAATTAGGTGTAAGTTGATGGATTATTTTTTGAATTTCAAAGCTTCCTTCTGAGACAAAAATGACGTCAATAGTGTTAGTATTATTAGAATTTAATTGGTGAATGGTGACTAGCAGTGGAATCCAGGATGCGCATTTCGTCCTATTTGGGACTCGTCGTCTGGATTATTATTACTCTATACATGAGTTAATCGTGTTCACATGACACAGATACATGGCATCATTCACTGTTCATCTGATCCACATGGAATGTTGAAGTTTACCCAACTGTATTCTCAAGTAGATAAGAACTGGCAGTCGGAGACGCATGCCAGTGACATGCCTGGATATTAAGGAAATGTACTGCACAGATGTATTTGATATTACCGTCTTCGAGATTCTTTAAATAACTGTTTCTCTTACACATCCTTGTTCTTTGTTGAATTCTCGTCTTTATGTGCCATTTTGAAGTGTGTATGTGTGCTGATTAGTTACTCATCAATTCAAATCTTCGTTTTACAGAATAACATCAAGAAATCACACTACTGAATGCTTAGGCGTTTTGTCAATGGAAAAGCTACAAATTCAAAACATTTTTCCCCCGAATGAGTCTGTATATACCCTATACAAGGAATCTAGTTAGACATCTGTACAGTAGAACTCACGAGATTACATACCCACAGTAGTTAAACTATGGTGGATTGATAAATCCATAAGAAGAACTTTCTGGGGCGCAAAGATTGTTTCTCCAAGCATCACCTAGTTAGTTTAACAGTAATGAGGGAAGCACGGAATGCAAATCATCGATGTCAATGTGTTTACTTATTTTCAGCTAATATGTATGGGGTAATTATAGGTTGATATCAATTCTCAGGATAAGTTATTTGTCCTCATAATTAAAGCATGTAAAAAACGAGACATTAAGTTTCAATAAGCAAACATTTTTTTGATTCTGGACACGTTTTTATCACTCTTAAATAGTTGATCGTAATCAGCAGTTTTCATATCACCAAGGAATGTACATTTTGGTTATCAACATCTTATTTATTGGTATCGTTTCTTTGATTTCCTATTCATTTACCTTCCAACTGGAGCATGGTACTTCAAGCTATGAATTTTTGAAGTTGCAGTAGCTGCGAGGTTTTTTATGGAATGAGGTTGATAGCCCTACGCCCACACTTTCCTCTTTGCCAGGTTTACTGTCGGCGGGTAGCAAGGTGACGTTTAGTAGAGCATAGACCTAAAATGGAATCGGGACTATGTGCATGGCTGTCAAACATTCTACGACTAAATTACAATCCCTTTTGTTGATGTAAATAAGTGTTATCCCATGGAATTCACGCTTTCAAAGTTATCTTATCCCCTTTACCTCTTCCACACCAAAGGTTCCGCTAGTTTCACCTCTAATTATAATTTTAATTGTATTATTTTTTTGATTATAGCTTGATTCCACACCGTATTTTTGGTACAAGTATGGAATTTTCAGCATATGATATCGGTGGCCCAATTTTGCAGGCCGACCATTGATATCAGGTGTTCATCGACAGGGGATCGAACCCCGGACCATGTGCATGGTCAGCGAGAGTCCTAACCGATGTGCCACCGACTATATAATATAATCGCACCTGTGTAAATTCCAGTTTCTCTAACAGAAGTATAGTGTCTCACTTTTTATCTGACATTAAGAAAATAAAAAGATCTCGAGTGTATAGGTCACTAATTTGATGGTGTTTGAAAGAATTCTCAAATAATCTTCATTAGGTAGGAAAAGTATTGCTTATCCACTTTATCGTACTATCGCTGATTTCGCCAATATTTTGTAAACTGTTTTCAAATCTAAAATGCTGTCTGCACTTATACAAATACTGCAAGATATCGACTGGTTTATTTATTAGTCAAGATTATCACCATTATCATGAATAAAATCAAGTTGTTGTCCTAATTCCCATTGAAATACAAAATGATAATAATCACTTGCTAGTGAGAATATTTTCTCAGCGCTACAGTCGAATACAAAATTAAATGAACTGGAGTAAACCAAATGCAAAGTTACACTGAAACCTAATATCTCAGTGAATGACCAACTAAACCAGTAGACTATAGTAGGAAAGAAAAACGAGCACTATAAAAACCAAGTTTCATATTTGTTCAGTTATGGTTGATATAGCCAATTAGTTGTGTTCAAAATATCAAGGAGTACTGGACCCTTTCTCTTCCTAGTTTCGGACTCTTCAGGAGTTCGCATACACCACGCCTTGGACCCAATAGCTTCCGATTATAAGGTGAGTTCGTAGACCATTCAGCCACTTTAGAATTGGCTGGCGGTTGTGCTATATGCATTGTGAATTGACAGAAGTTGAATTCCGTTCCACTAGTTGAATTATACACGAGTTCTTTGTAACCGAAAGGTCCCTCGTTCGAATGTGGTGAGCGTATGCTGCCGAAAAGTCCTAGACTAGGAAGAAATAGTCGTCCAGTAATCCCTGATTTTTCACCGATTTTCTAACATATATTCAATAAACAAATTAATAATAATCTATCGGTTACTCAATTTTCCTTCAGTTCTTCGTAAGTTCTGTCCCTCGTGTACCGAATTGGTTTGTTAACCAGTACAGTTAAAAATCAACTGATAGCCAGATACGAAGCTGCTTCACAGTAAAGAAATGACCAAAAAACTCTTTATGCCAGTGATGAAATTTAGTGATGGAGTGAAATTAGAGGAAGAATTTATGATTCTCAAAAAGATGTTGAAAAACAACGGTTACCCTCGAAGATATGGAAGATGTGAAGGCTCAAACAAATCACAGTGGGAAAAAATCCTGTCTTCATTCAACTCGATTTTAAAGGTGAAATATTGCAGCTATAGCCAATAGAAGACTGAATACGTCACTAGCCAGAGCCTATCCTGCAGCTAAGTTGGTTCCCGTCCATCGAACAACATGCTCTTTGGTGCAATTAAAAGTCGACAGAAATCGTCGTGTTAACGCCAACTGTGTATACAAATTTACATGTATCTGCGGGAGGAGTTACATTTGGAGAACAGAAAGAAGGGCACACCTCCAATTCCCTGAACATGTACCGAAAAGCCTACGTCTCAAGGGCACAAGCGTTTACAATAGTGCCATTACTAGACATCTCCTTGATATGGATCATGAAGTGAAAATCGCAAAATCCTTTAAAATTATCAATAGAAAAAAGAGCTCGATTCTTCTCAAATTTGCTGAAGCAAATTCTATCAAACTCCTGAAACCCGATTTATGTGTTCAGAAAGAAGCAGTTATCAGTCTTTCCTTGCCCATCCTGGTAACTGGATGTCTTTATTCTCTCCTTCATTTGATTACGTAATCTTTGGCTTTAACCTCACTCCCCTTTGATATAGTGTAATTTTGCTTGTCTCTTGCTTCTATGATTTCCGTTGAACTCAGTACACTGTTACCCAATTTACTAGTTACTCATCATCTTACGTACCTCTCGTTTTCATTACGTAACTCCTTAATCACTGTATGCATACCTTTACTTTGTTCAAACTTGAACTCCCTGTATAAAAACTTATAAGCGTAATTTTCTGAGCACTGTTCACTAAGCTTGGAACTTCCTGTCAACTGGCATCAT